CCACCGCGACCCAAAAATACTGGTTACCAGCTTCATCCAACCTTCTTTAACCATGTCGTCTGCACTACCACTCGTGGCACTGATTTCGAAGGCATGATCAAATGAGTTAACTTAACCGCGAAGCTAATAGATTTGATTAGGGCAGGATGCATATTTTAGTGCCTACGGTATGTTTCCTCATCTGAAAAAATCAGAAGAAAAGCGATCAATTGACAGGGCATGCCAAAGTACAGTTTTCATAGTATGCATTATTGATACTGCTTGAGTTTTGTCTTAGTAAACTTTTGTTTTGGCTCGCAGACAGTTTTGATGACCGCTTATTCTTTTGGGTTTCGGACTCTGACGCGTCCGACAGTGTTTCCGAAGTTCCTGATGCCGTGCCATCGTGTGAGCTTCGGCACAAGATAACCCTAAATTAGAACAGAGTCCTTCCATGCATTTGCCCCGGGTAGTTCTTAGCCGTTCCGTTCCCTGAGTCTTCCAGTCGGTCGGTTTTGGAAATAGTAGCTGTTTCGCCTTCCTTTCTGAAAGCATTCGCAATGCGCACCCAAACCGTCACAGCTTTGATTTCTCTCTGGAGAACTTCATTAAATTTTCTGCTCTAATCTATGAAAACATGGCAAAAACCTTAGCGTCAATAATGTTTCTCTAGCCACTTCTTTCCAGGCATAAAATTTATTACTAAATTTATCGATTGCCTCAAACCTTCCAAAACAAACTTGGCAAACAAAGCTTTGACGCCAATTTGGTCCACTTTTGAACAACTGGTTTGACCCGCAACTTCCTTTCTACCTTTTTTCTGTGCTTTGACGTGTTTACTTGATATTTAAATCAGCTTAAGGAGAAAAGCAAGCTTAAGTTTCTTCATGTGATGATGCGTTTTAAAGCTGACATGATTAAACTCATCTTAATCATGAGCAACTTCTAATCCAAAATTCCGTAAATAATGCAAAGGTTGAACAGATTTATATTTCTAGCAGATTATAGCCTCCCCTTCCAAAGCGTTAGAAATAAATCTCACTTGACACGATCAGCCTGTGATGATTTCAAGTTCTTAATCCTTCAATTTCATGCAACTTCCATAGTCGTGTTTGGTGCTATCAGAGAGGCCAAAGGCTTGATACAGAATGCATGTCTGAAATCCTTGGAATCTAATCATTTCAGGGCAGCAATGAAGATAATCGACGCTTGTTGGAGCTGATCCTGAAAGACCGGAAAGTGTACATGATTGGCACAATGTTACGACAGAAGTTTGTAATAAGATTTTCTGTCAATTCGCAGCTCACTGAGGCTGCTGATATAGATTTCGTATGGCAGACGATTGTGAAGGCTGCAGAGTCTGTTATAAATAAATAGCAGAGCGTTTTTTTTTAAATTTATGTGATTGCACATGTGCATGCAAATTCAGTAAAATGTTTATTTTCTGCGAAATAATTCAAATGTTTGACAGCTGAAATTTTTCTACAAATCAATGAAATGCAGAGTTCATCGAGCATCTGATATCTTCGAGTTACATTCATTGATGTTGTTGTTTTATTATCGTGATCAAGGATTAGCGAAGTTTAAAATGTAGAGTAACTAAGATTTATCATGTCCGACCATTAGAAACGGCAGAAGTCATACTTCGTGCTGTCAGAAGGTCCTCCTCAAAGATATCCTTCCATGTTTTGTATTGTCTTCCAACGCGTCTATGGCCAGTTGGCAGTTCCCATTTGAGAGAAGTCTTGAAAATAGCACTATTGCCCTTTAGTACTGTTTTATCAAACAAACCAGGTCAGATCTTCGAGTTCATCTGATGATTTTTCCGGAGCAGCTGTCCTCAGCACTCACTCTTTCAGAATACTACACAGATGGCATCGGCAGATGCTGTACCGACAAGCTTCACGACGCTTCATGACATCAGATGTTTCGAGACTTACATGAGCACTGCAAATACGGCTGCTTTCGTAATGTTGATCTTCAGGTCCGTTATTATGGTCCGATTCTTCCATTTATTATACAGTTTGCCATAATTTGCTGATGCCAGTACGATACGCCGATTTACTTCAGGGTCAATGCCGCCATTGTTAGCCAACGCCGTTCCAGAGCATTGGAAATGGTACACCGTTTCCTTCGTAATACCATTCCAAAATATACGTTGACTGCCGGTCGCAACCGGCGTTTTCATTATCTTCGTGTTTTCTGGCGTTCATTTATAGCCCAACTGGCATATCGGTGCTCTACGCGCTTTCAGAGAATGCCAGAAGAACGGCAACAGCATAACTACTGTCATTTCTCCATTACACGATAAATTTTTTTTGAAAGTTCTCGTAATAAACCGCGAACCTGATTCGGAAAGGCGAATGTTTCAAATGGAGCAGATGGACCACGTTCGGCTTGTCCTATAGCTGTTTCATCATCATGATATGCACGATTATTGCAGATTTTGGTGTAGATTAGATATTGATTGCGCAGATGAATTAGCTGTCAATTGGTTAATTATAAATAAAAAATATATTAGCTTGTTTCGACCAATTATTCATGTTCAAGATTACGATGGGACGACTCAAAAATGAAGCTGTTTAGCCGGCGATGGTTTCAGGGGTGGAGATTAGTAAAAACAAGAGGCGCATCGACTCGGGTTCGTGGCAAACTCACATCAAGGGCAAATCATTTAACTATGTCAACGTAATATTTAAATTAAATGTAGCGATATTTATAAAGGTACTTGATAATGTGGGGGTTGATTCCGACGTAAAGTATTAAAAATATACTGACAACAGTACAAGTTGTGAATGTTGGCAGTGCATAAGGAAAGTTACAGGAGCTGTCTGCATCCTCTACCAAAAAGGATAAATGGTCATCGAAACAAATTGACTGATGATTAATTTATGAGGTTTACTTTTGAGTCAGTGCTTCGTTCGGCTTAAAACTTCTTTCGGAAGACACACCCGTCTCTCATTTTATTACTGCTAGGTTTTTGCCTCAGAAAGAGATAATTTTGTAGCAGCTGCAGGTTCTGGAAGGATGCACATCTTTGAATGCCCGCTGCGGCTCTAAGCCTCACTTGAGGTTTACACATGATTAACGGTTGCTGCATCGGTCAATAGATAGACAGAGAGCATGGTGGAGAAGCCATCATGTAGAGTAAAATCGAAAAGTTGGCGTTATTGCTTAGAAACAACAAACAGCGCTTTTGAAGAACGCTTATTTCTTTGTTCTGAAAGACGTGAACCAATTTAATTACGGAAGATCGCTTGTTCAATTTTTCCACGGGATAGCGCCACTTTCAGCTTATTCAAGTTACATGAACGGTGTAGCGCGATTTGTGTAAAGTGCTTTATGACAAGAAAGTACACCTTCTTTCATACACAGAGATCAGTAAATTGCCCAAAGGTGCTTTGAAACGAGCGCTTGCTCGCTTGATGGAAAATCTGGATCGCATGAGTCGGCGGGTACTTTACGAGCGTGCGTTTAATGATCCGTTTAACATTTCACTGTACCCCTGTTTTTGAGTAGATGCGTTTACAGGGTGGTCATTATCACACTAGGAAGCACGAAATTAGCGAAAATTATTTCATCTAATTTGGCAGTCGCTGTTGGCACAAAAGGCGTTTTCCGTTCCGCATTTAAAGTGGACTTTAAGAAAGTAGACCGGAAGCATTTACCAGCTCACTTGCAACTCTCAGAGCTAACCACTGCAAGTAATCAGAAAGACGGATTCAAATTTTATAGTTCTTCGGATTGTGCAGAAATGAAGCCTGTTCCATCTGCGTTATGTGCGGTTGTTGGTGAGTGTTCGTTGAAGACCTGACTGCACCATATATCACTGATTATCTTTGAGAACTTCAGAGCGTTGATATTGTTATGCATTTTGTATTATAATGATTACAATACCCTGACTGCTCTTATCGTTTGCATTATAGTTATTTCTTTGATCATATCATGTATGACTTTGCACTGCCACTACTGCAACCAGATGGATTCAAACCTGTTCTCTGCCAACAGGGACAAAAACTGTTTCCAGACGCCGTCTTCTGAAAGCGGTCAAATTCCAATGAAAATCTGTAAAAGCAACGAGAAGGCATGTGTGGTAAGTGACTAAACGAATTAAAATGATTAAACTTAATTTTGCTATGTCATAAGATAATATAAAATGGTACAACAAAAGTAGAAACCCAATTGTATAGTTTGTTATCTTGTTAGTTCCATGATTTTACGAATGAAGTTCGACTTCGCTCTATGATTTATCGGTTTCATTGATCGGTGAATAATTCCTGAATTGGCTATTGATTTACTGTTTGCCAGATTGCTGGCAGTGGCTGAAGAAGAATACTCCAAACCCAGGCGATCCAGACCCAAATGTGCATGCAGCAGTATAAAAGTCGGTACTACGCTACAGAAAAGGGAACGACGACAATTATTTCACAATGCAAGCGCTTTGCAGAAAAAACATCAAATATTCATATTTCAGAAGTACAGCGAAGGCAAAGTTGGCCGCTCCGTCCGTCCGTTCACTCATTCAGCCATCAATTTTATAGCTCCTTGTTCGGTATTGAGGAAGCAGTCTCAAGACGCTGTTTTAATGGACTTGATATTCGATCAGTCGATCAAAGCGGCATCATTGCTTAGTGTTTATTTTATGCAACCCATCTGACCATTGATGCCTTTGCTGTCTGACAAGAAAAGTTCCTTGGACTCTTTTCCAGCATGTTGAACATTCTGTTTCGAAGCCATCGAAATTGCAGTTTTCGAATACGGTAATGACGAGTTTAATCGAGCGTATCTCAGCCTGCCGTATTTTAAGACTTTCTGCATTGACATTCCCTCGAACGAGGTAATTTCGATCAGTCAAGTTAATCCGCAATGTTGCTATGCTTCTTAGTCACCACAGACAGGTTCAGCTGTCTCATTATTGCGTGATGACCAAATCATTTTCTATGTACTGTCATCAAGAAAACTCTATGCAAGCCAAGCAAATTGACCAATCGGATGAATAACTGCTGCCGACGTGGTGACTAGCCCCTCACCGACCTTCTTCTAAATGGAGAGCGTTGATTTCAGAAATTCGTTTTCTGCCTCGCAGCCGTTGTAATGTTTAACGTCAAAAAGTGTGTTTTGGCCCATGCTGCTGGTTATGTAGTTTTTAGACAAGAAATTTGATAAGGCCTGTCAAAACTGTGGAAAGTTCCCATCTTTTGCCCCGGTTGACATTTTCACTGCATTGGATAACTGCTTGCCCACCTGAACGCCGTTTCGATCCGGTATCAAAAAGTCTGAAGGATTATATCTTAGCGGCGGTATCAAAAGCTAGCTGCATGCTAGCAAACCAATATGATCGGGTTTTATTTTGCTGGCACCTTTCGGTCTGCCGTTTGCATCATGGATCCTACGTGTCGATAGGACTCAGCCTGCTTTTTATATGAATATTACGAAAATAAAAAGATACTACTCATAGATGACAGAAGACGTTGTTTTCATCGTCAAAAAATTAATCGTTTCTGCTGTTTGCGTTTGCTGACGTGAAGTCAACAGATTACTCGTTGTACCACTAAATCCGAAGTACTTAATGATTTCAGTACCACGAGTTTTGAACTGTGATTTTAAAGGCTTCCTAAAACAGTCTATTAAATATCTTGCGTTTAGGCAACCGTTACTCTTCGAAACGGTATCATCGCAGGAATACAACGTAATTGCTCGGCAAAATGCAATGCGACTTGCATTTCGACAGGCTTCGTGCTAATAACGAAGAAATGCTCAAAGTGCTGCACTCTTCCACTGTGCAACGACTGGAATGCGCAAAACGTTTATTTGAATTCGGCACTTTCACCCAAACATTCTCAAGGCTATTTAATTTGTATCGCGCCACAAGCAATATTACTAGCAATTGTGGCAATGCGACAATATTTGTTAATAAACGTGTATGACTAACTTCGTCACGGAGAAAAAACATCGAATATAAGAATAAAACTAGCAACATACAAAAACATTGATAAAAACCAAACTACTAGACATTTCAGAAAACAGGCCTGAAGCGTATATGAAAAATGTGTCACTACACAGCGAAGTAATCGTTCGACAGTGATCAGTCATTTTGAGGAAACTTGATAAATGGTATTTCGATCTTACAATTCTAAACGATATATCAAGCAATAAAAATTTAGACAAAAAATTGAAGCAAATCATAAGAAAATCAAACTCGTCCTTATAACCTACACAATTATTAACTCATGCTTATGAAAACTAAATTTTGAAGGAGCATACAACTTTAATTTAAATAAGCGAAAAACGCTGAAAATCAAAGTTAATATAAAAAAACTATCTTCAAATTAACATTTAATTATATTATTCTGACACCTGCCTTAAAACTTATGCACTGCTTTACTGTTCTGGTAGTCAGTAAAGAAGTCCCGCAGAAAATGATAACCTGTAACAGTTAATCTAATTAATCTCAAACCATGCACGTTACAGCCGCATCTTCAACTAAAGTTGAACAGAATCTAAACTGAACAAGGAACAACTGAACAAAGTATTTTTGACCAAAACAATCAAAATGGCATCCCTCCATTTAACCTCTGAGTCAATTACACTTTTCGGATGGTCAGCGGAGGTAGC